CCCCGCTCTCCCCCTCTCCCCCCACGGCCCCGACGGCAGCTCCTCCCCGGCTCCGCGTGGGCGGCACTGCCCGCCCCGCCCCGGGACGTTCCACCGGCGCTTTACCGGCGGAGCTCAGCCCCGCGCCCCCCGACTGCCGTTTGCAGAATCCCCCACGCCGGCCCGCGGGTGAGCCGCCGTGCCGGGCTCCGGGCTGGCCCCGGCTCCCCGAGCGCTGCGGGAAGCGGTCGTTTGGCCCCGTCATGGGTGTCCGGTCTGCTTAGCTTCCGCGGGGGAGCGGGGCCGGCGGCGGGCCGGAGGATGCTGCCGCCGGGAACAGGAGGGGACACGGAGACCCTGGGCGGCCCGGAGTCACGGCAGGCCCGAGGYGGGGTCCCGGCCCCGCTGCAGCCCCCGGCCCGGTTTTGCCGGGGGTCGGAGCCTCCGCGCCGTGGAGGCTTCACCTCGTTGCTCGGTAGCTCGCGAGGTTAAMCCCCCCCGCAGCCCCGACGTTTCCAGGCATTGCAAGAAAACTCCTGGAGAAAAAGCCCTGTTATCACCAGAGTGCTGGTCATCCGAGAGAGGGGGGATTCCCTGGAAATGACCTTATCGCAGACCTCCCGTGCCTGTTTGGAGCCACTCTGCAGCTCCAGACCGAGCTCCTGGGCTCMTTTCTTTGGTCTGGTGTTGATCAGAAGGGTGTGTGTGGTGTAACCGTTCACCAACAGAAACAATCCTGCTTTTGCACAGTCGTGCTACTGCTGCCTCCCCTGAGGCAGGGCTTGCAAAGAGCTCCAGGAGAGCAGCAGAGCCCTCTGAAAGCCTGGGTACAGATGTGATGTGCTGGTGGCTCTCGGGTAAGAGCTGCCTCTTAACCGTCCCTAGGACACTGGATCAGTGATGTTGGTACAGGCAGCAGGAAACACTCCACAATCATTGATAAATAGCTTGTTCTGCATCATGTTTTGCAGCTCGCTACTGTGTATTTCTTGCTGTTCACACCTAATTACTTCATTTTGAAAGAATAAAGAAAAAATAAGAGCAGGCAAAGTTTTGCTGCTTTATGAAGAAGCAAATCTGTGTTATTGCCTGTATACCTGTGACAAGGCAGCTGCAGACAGTACCAGAGCTGTGTATTGCACACAAAGCACCACCTGCCTGAAAAGTGGCRTAAGGGAAGGTCATTCTGCAGTGTGTTCACTGTAAGTACCAAAGAAATACAATTTATGACAAATTTTTGGAGTATGTTTGGCTGGGGCTCACTTGGTAGATTTGCAGGCCTCCTCCAGCCTGACAGCATCAGAAATCTGATGTAAGGGTGTTTTCAGGCRTTCCCAAATGAGTTCCTCTTTCTTTGTTGCACTATAATGAACTCCAGGTTGTAGYCACCTCCCCCTTCTTTCTCTCCTGATGCTTCTAATTTCACATAAATATTTGAGATTAGAAATGGCTCTGGGTATGAAATATGACCTTTCACCTCCATGCAACTTTGTGATTATGCCATACCATCAGTAATCCTACTTCTAATCCCTCAATTTGGAAATGTTCATCTCAAATTGCATTAGTGCCTTTTTAACAGGACCAGCGTTTCTTTGAGGGATGTGTCACTTCCAAATGCAAAAAAAGGCAACAGCTGCCTGCTTCAAACAGGAGCTACACCCACCCAGAAATGAGACCAGTGTTTTGGGCTATGAAACCCAAAATGTGTCTTTTAAAATGGARTGGCTGCTCTGCCTGAGCAGGGGGATAATCAGTGCACTTAACAAAGTCATCTTAATTGCTTCTTCTCCTCCAGCAGCAGGATTAATTAGTGGAAGAACAGGATATCTTCATCATGTRTGAGATGCTTGCAGAGCTTTGGATCTCTGCCCTATTTTAATGACTAAGAAGTACTTGAATACCATAGATATTTGTTTCACCCTTTTTCAGACTAAAGTGTGTCAACTTTTGGAAAATCTTGCCTTTAAGCCCTCACACCTCCTCTTATATATTTACAGCAAGAGGCGATTGAAAAGGTAGGGAATTATATATCCTGAATACTTTAGCTCTATAAATGTGATGGCAATGGCACTGCCCAATGGAAGGAACAAATGTAAAGACATTTTAAGGCATTGTTTTAAACGTTATACACCCGAAAAACCTTTATTACTATTTTTACATCTCACTGAACAGTTGTGCTGTTGGGTGGACTTAGGAATCCATACATAAGCAAGAGGATGTCTCCCCATCASTAAAATTCCCCTTTTTCTTCCTTCTCTCACACTGCTGATATGGTAAAAACAAGCGGTATCTTTTACGAGTGTCTTTCCTTGAAAGGATCTTCCTTTATAAGCCAAGCAAAGCAGACGTTTTTGTGGGTGCTGGGGGTAGCAGCGGAGCCTTAAGCTTAAGGTATAGGATAAATATAGAAGTAGAGAAAGATAAAATATTTGGCATGTGGTTACAGCTTAGTCTAAATAAATTCCAGTGGTTATCCAAACTAAAAGTTTTGGGGTGTTTTTTTGGTTTTGTTTTTGTCTGTTTGTTTGGGGTTGGTTTTGTTTTGTTCTGTTTTTATTATTACAAACTAAACAGATTGTCATCGAATCTGAGAGTGCCTTTAATGCAGAAGCTGTGCTGAGACTATAGGGGAAACCTGTAAATGAAATAAAATTTTRTGGGTGAAATGTGTGATAATTTCGGTTCCTTGTGTGCAACCATCTCTCCTGACCGGCTGAGCGCTGATCACAAAGTTTCAAATCGACACTTTTTTTTTTTCTTTTCCCCCGAGGAAATGGCTTTCAGGGGTAGCAGGATGCTCTGCTTTGTCAGAGCAATGGTGCCCCGATTGTGACAGTGTCTGGATGTTCCTGTGGCACTGGGAAGGCGGCAGCGCTCCCCACTCCCCTCTGACATGCCAAGTTCGCCAGGGCTGTTATTTGGCCTAGGAGAACCCTCTTTGTACGCGCGGGCGGTTTTGGTATCCCTGCTCGAGAGAGAGCCCGGAATCCATCAGCCCCCAGGGATTTGTGGCCACCAGCGCTGCTGGGGCTGCCCGGGCTCGGTTCGGATCGCCACTGTGCTGCCGGGCGGCGCTCCGGTRCGACGAGGAAATGTTTTACATCCCCAGAGAAGGGGACTGATCCCGACACGAGGAATCCCGAGGGACAACACAAACTCCRCCGGCCACCGCGGGACGTGTGGCTGCTCCTCTCCGCTCCCGCGGAGCTCCGGAGCGGTGCCCACCCTGGCACAGCGGGCAGGCCCGGGGATTGTCCCGGTCCGGGATCGGGGGAGCAGCTCCGGTCTGCCCGTCCGAGAGCCGCTGCTACCCCGACCGAGAGCCGCTGCTGCCCCGACCGAGAGCCGCTGCTGCCCCGTCCGAGAGCCGCTGCTGCCCCGACCGAGAGCCGCTGCTGCCCCGTCCGAGAGCCGCTGCTGCCCCGACCGAGAGCCGCTGCTGCCCCGACCGAGAGCCGCTGCTGCCCCGTCCGAGAGCCGCTGCTGCCCCGACCGAGAGCCGCTGCTGCCCCNCCGAGAGCCGCTGCTGCCCCGACCGAGAGCCGCTGCTGCCCCTCGTGCCCGGGGAGCCGCACCCGCCGCCCGCCCGTGCCCACAGAGCCCCTGCCCGTGCCCGTGCCCGTCCCGCCGCGAGCCGCCTCAGCCAGGCCGGGACTCGCCCGGCACGGCTCAGTTCCGCAGCGCCGGGCGGGGCTGTGCAGGGCCGGGCTGTGCCGGGCCGGTCTGTGCCGGGCTGTGCCGGGCCGGGCTGTGCCGGTCTGTGCCGGGCTGTGCCGGTCTGTGCCGGTCTGTGCCGGTCTGTGCCGGGCCGTGCCGGTCTGTGCCGGGCTGTGCCGTGCCGGGCCGGGCCGGGCCGGGCTGTGCCGCTCCCCCGCCCATCCTCCGCGGTGCGGTGCGGTGCGGCGGGGCGGGCTCGCAGCGGGACGGCCCCGGGCCGGCTCCTCCCCGGCCGCGCGGGGCTGCAGGCGGCGGAAGATGGCGGCGGCGGGCGGGGGCGGTGCCGGTGCCGGTGGCGGGGCCGCGGTGTCGGTGCTGGCGCCCAGCGGGCGGCGAGTCACGGTGCGGGTGGGGCCCGGCACGGTGCTGCTGCAGGTGGGTCCGCGGCGGGGCGGGCGCTGAGGGGAAGGCGGCGGCAGGGCCGCGGGCCGGCTGTGACGCCCGTGCTCTCTCCGCAGGTCCTGGAGGAGGTGTGCAGGAAGCAGGGCGCCAGCCCCGCCGAGTACGGCCTCAAGTGAGTGTGTCCGTGTGCCCGGGCCGTTCCCCGCTGCCCGCGGCCGCTCCGCGCTGCGCCTGCCGCTGGCCGGGCCTGGCCGGGTCCGCTGGGCTGCGAGGGGCAGGGGCTCACTGAACCCTGTTCGGGTCAGTCCCTCCCCATGGGTCACGGTCAGTTACCTTCTGGGACAGACTGCGAGGCCCCATGTCGCTGCCACACAGCTCATCTAGGTCACAGACCGGCAGCRTCCATCTCCCCACTCACCTGGGGGCTTGACCCTCTGCAAGAGTAYTTTGCTATTTAACCGGGCTTGGTTATGTAGTCAGTTGCTGTTTATCTCTTTAAAACCTTTAAAGAAAGGACATAGATTTGGTTTTCTTCTCTGTGCCTCTACAGACTGCAGCTGTTTTGGTGTGCAGAATGGCTTTTGTTGACGATGCCCTTATAATTACCAATTGTTCATTGTTGAATCATGTTCTATGGCTTCTWGTCACCCTCCCGGAAATTCTCTTGCACGATACCTGGACTTTCTATTGTTCATAGGTTCTGTTCTCCTTCAGGTTTCAGAGGAATGTTTTGGACCTGTCTTTGCAGTGGCGGTTTGCTAGGCTGCCCAAYAATGCCAAATTGGAGATGGTGCCAGTCTCTAACCGGGCAGGAGTTGGAACCATGGTATGTTCATTTACTCAATGTCACCGGATTTGTTCAGTTCTCAGTTGTGCTGTTATGATTCCATCAGGTCTAATGACCAAGAGCGTAGGTCTGCATGGCCGATGCCTGCGTGGGAGACCAGCTGAAGACTGGTTGAAGTGCAGTGGAAAATGGTAATTTAGTAGCCAAAAGTCTTTACTTAGASTCTGCATGAGCATGGGATGCCAGCTGTGCTGGAGCAGAGTGGGATCGCTGGGGGAGCTGAAAAACAAGTAGTCATCGATAGCTAAGAAGTTAAACATCACTGATGACTAACTCAGYTCCCCTTCCTAATTTCTTTTCAGTTGCTGTTTTCTGCCTCTGGATTTTGACTAGATCTTAAATTCTTACTGAATCCTCTTTTGCTGCTTYCCCAGCATTGGTGTTCGTGGTGTCTTCACACAGTTTCAGAGTCTTTCGGGGTGTGTGCTGTCTTCAACAGTGGCCAAATGTCCCTATTTAGTATTATTTGCAGAGGRCTTACGGATGCTGTTTTCTCTAGAAAACACGTTTTGGAGTCTAAAAATATTCTATATGTATCCCTGTGGCTAGAGGCATAACTTTTCAAGAAATGCATAGGTATTATTTGAGTGTGAACTTTTCATATTGTAAAAATAATGTATGGCCTTACTTAAGTAGTTTGGGAATGAAAATTTGTCTGTCACTAGTAGTCATCTTACTAACTTCCTCGTAGGGAAGTTCTCAATTTTTATCCAAGTTTCAGATCTACTGGGACTGATCTCTTAGTGTCTGTCAGCCAAGCGGCGTTCGTGGTGTTTGCTGTAGGCAGTTGCTTTAGCTGCCWCAGAGAGAAACTGAGACATGGAAAAGTGAACTCTGTGGTGTGAGGGCTTTGGAACCTCCACTCTGGTTCAATCTGTAAGATAGTTTTGGGGGTCACTGATATTGATATTTTTCTCTGTAAAACCTCCATTTTATTTGTTTTGGCACTAGGCCTTCTTTCTGACTTTGGGGTAGAAAGATATTTGTGCTTCAAATGTCATTTTACTTAAAAAAATACCACAAACCAGTAGCATCTGCTTAAAATTTTCAATGAAAYGTTGTGGTGGAATGGAGTTTGTCTTGCAGAGGAAAGTGTTTCTGTTGAAAGGGTGCAGTGATGACTATCTGATATTTGCATCTAGTTGGGGAGGTACTGAAGGAAAACAGTGATTTTATTTTGTTTTCCCTGCAGTTATAGCACGAGAAAGGGCAGGAAGGACTGTGCTGTAGGAGAGGGGTTATGGAGTGGAATGGCTGCTTTTAGATCACAAAAGAGAAGAGCTAATGGAGGTGTAGGTTGTTACTATTTAGTGGCAGTTCAGTTGTCGAGGCTTCCCTGGGTGTGCTCCTTGCTGTGTCATGGAGGTGAGAAGATGCAGCAAATGCACATGTGAAGGGTGGAGTSTCAACAGAGGCACCGTCCCACAAACTTGAGTAGATTTGACTTGGGAGAATTTCACAGTGCAAGAAAAGACTTTGTCCAGAGCGAGTGACTAAAAGAATTCCCTGCTGCAGGGAGTGGATGTCAAAGACTGGGGAGTTTTACAACAGCTGTGACTGGGATGTAGTGGCAGTTGTGATGCAGACTCAGTCATGCTGGCTGGCTGCAGTCATGTTGGGATGAATTTGATTTTATGTCTTTTGTTATTTTATGTTCTATTAAGATCATGTGTGTGGAAGTAGGTATGCTTTCCTGTAGTGACAGTAATTGCCTTAGAGAGAGAATACAGATTTTGATAAATCATTTATTTGTTCAGTAAAACTGATATTTTAGAAATAGAGAGTTTTTGGATTTGCCTTTGCATGTGGAAAATATTGTTTTCTGTTAGACWGTTCTTTAGTGAAAAATGGAACAAATTCCCTTTGTGGTAGCAGGTGACACACCATAAATACAGCTGTGGTGTTAAAGTTGTCAGCCTCTTGTTTACATGTTTGTAAACTTAGACGATAATTGGCACTGGTCTCTATTAAATATTKTATGTAGCACCTGGGTTCTTTGAAGATACTTTTCTAAGGGACTGAATAGGACTTTCGTGACATGTTTAMCTTTGAACTGTTGCCCAAAAACTGATGCAACTGGTTGTCTGAATTTCTGGGCTGTATTCTTACAGACTGGTGATGTCAGCTGTCATCACTCTGCTGTAGCTGAGAATAATCTGAGGCTTGTCTCCCGTGTGGGAGGAACCAGGAGGTTGTATTMGTGGTGGGATGAAACGACATTGTTCTGTTGGCTCATTGTTAATGATGCCACTGTTTCCTTTATGTAGAAAAATTCCTGTCTCCAGCAGATGAGCATTTGCAGTCCTGTGAGGACTGGGGGGAGCCAAGGCAGATGACAAACACATTCTTGCTTGGAAATGACAGTGGATTGCTGGAACGTGTGGAGTCTCCTGTATCTCTCTGCCCTCATGCTTGCACACACATCTTGCACTCAGTGAGAGGCTGCACTGGAAGTTTCAGTAGGGAACACATGTAAACTCAGAATGAGAGAAAGTGCCTTTGGCTATCTTGGKCTAACCTTCTTCTCAGGCTTTGGAATGAGGCCAGATTTTGTGCACTTCTGAAAACTGAAGTTTACTGGAGAAACCGGGTTTTATCTAGGGGCTACAGGGTTTTCTATGATTTTTCTTTAGACAGGTGAGCTAATTGGGAAAACTTAAGAGTTAGACATTCTGAAAAATGTCTGTCCCTGTCCCAGRGAAGTTGTTCTACAAAGTGATGCTGAAGTGGACAGAACTCTGTTTTGGTGTTTTAGGTTGTGCAACTGCATCAGTTGTGTCTGGATAATTGGAATTTGTTTTATGTAGCTGTGAGGACCCTTATGGTAAAGTTTCATCTCATATTAAACGGAACACCTCACTTGCTGATGATGACACATTATTTGGGATGTTTGCATTGTCTTTTCTCTGAATATGTTCCAGTTCAAGATACAGCAGGGGAGAGGGGCCCATGAAAGCTGGTTMGTGTTCCAGAATGGCCTCCCCCAYRCTCAGGAGCAGTTCATCCTAAACAACGGGAATTCAGGCCAGAATACCTGCACGGATGAACAAGGAGCACTGAAATATTTTAAAAAGTTGTAAAGAAAAATAAGTTTTCTTTCAATTTTCAGATTAATTCAGTTTGGTTTTCTAATAGGTTCGGATAGCATTGCAACTGGATGATGGCTCCCGTTTGCAAGACACCTTCCTCTGCCAACAGACCTTGTGGGAACTTCTCAACCATTTTGCAAAGATCAGGTGAGCAATGCAGTGAGAAAATACTTGTTTGGATGGATCTCTGCATGACACTAATTACTTGTGGTTACCTAGCTAAAAACTTCAGATTYGTAGTGTTTGCATTTATTTGACTGCAACTTCTCCTTTATAACAGAGATATTTGCATTTTCCTTGSTCTTTCAGATTTGACACTCCATAGTTGTATTAGTGTTTTTTAATCCAGGAGTAGCACTCCTGATTCAGGGCATAATCTGGTACCAGACTGCTAGGGCTGTGGAAATACTGGGATATGTTCCACCTGCCTTTTGCATAAACTGTTTGAAGTCAAGTTACTGCCAGAGGTGAGGTGCTGCCCTAGATGATCTTGATCCCCAGTATTTCTATGCTGTGGTTCTGTGTAGTGCAGGGGGTTCTTTCTCATGGTTTGCTGTTGCTTTAGGGGCTTGCTGTTGTGCAAGTTCTTCAAGGAAACCTGGAGCTCACAGCAGGTTAATGTGGAATCTTYAAAAGACTGATTAGATCCTGTTTAAATGGAAGAATTTCTGGTTCTATGTTTATTGAATATGTACCTGGGTTAGAAATCTGATTATTTTAGTGCAGTCTACATTGAGTGCTATCTCTTGACTTTAGTTTTGATTTTAAAAGGCTGTATTGTTTTGAAATGTCAAGCTAATCAACTTTTCTCCAAGAARGATACTTCTTTCCTGTTTCTCATGGTTTAGAAGATGAACCCTTGAAGCTGTGGCAGCCATTCTGTTTTTAATCATGGACCAGGTCCACAATATGACGTTTATTCATAAGTAAAGGAACAGTATTCATGTAAATGCTAGAGATAAAAGAATTATTTTATTTGAGTAAACAGGTGGGACAAAACCCACAGGTATAATTTTGCCAAGTGTTTTAAGTCCTGTCTTGTCCGTTAGCACTCCCTTAGTGCCCTCTGCGAGGAGAGGAGTGCCTGTTGCAATTTGGGGACTCTAGACTTGTGGCAGGTGGATGACAAATAGCCTTTGTGTGGCTTTCTCACATATTAATTGATTTTTTTTTTTTGGTTTAAATTTTGAGCTTTTTGTATACTTTTGCTCTTTTGAAGTGGTTTTAGTGGTTACAGGTCATTGTAATACTACTAGTTAATATATATGTTGCTCTTCTTAAGCTTCTAACTGCTGCAGTGTGCTAAGCATTCATAACTTCAGAACACAGCTGATCTTTTCAGCCCTCTGGAAGCTGAGTTTAGATATTAGGGTAAACTTTGCAAACTTGATTAAGTTCAACAAGCAGCAAAGGTGCTGTGTACAATTTAGTCACAGAACAAGCTAGATCTACAGGCATCTGTGTGGATTTCGTGGGCTAAGTTGCTGYTCAGTGTATTTTGATTCAGTTGACKAAGTAGCCAGGTCATTGTTGATGTTAGCTGAATCCTTCCTTGGACTTTCCAACTGGAGATGTTTTCCTGGAATGCTCAGCTGCTCCAAATGCGTGAGAGGAAGTATTTTAAATCCACTGGAATTTCCCCAGGGTTTCCAGCATCCATCTTGGCTAATTGGCTCTGAAGAAGGTCTGGAAGCKATTGTAGGGCTGCTCCTCCTCTCAGCATGCGGCAGTCCTTGCACAAGATGTTTACAGGCCCYGTCAGATCACTACATGAAGGAATCTAATCTGCTTGCCGTTGCCCTTCTGAAGAGCAGCACATCAAAGAGAGGACAGTATGTTTGATGTGTGTGCTTGCCTCAGTGAGTTCATGTAATGGATTAGCAGCAGCTGGAGGAGGAGCCTGCCGCTTCCAAGRGTTAGACAAAAATAAATCTTTGGGGATCTTTGGCTGGAGTCTGTGCTGCAGAGGCTGCTTGTGGACACAGCATTGTCTGCCCTGTGGCTGTCAAGCCTGCGTTTCTGTCTCCTTGCCTTGCAGCCTCAGCAGCTTTCTGGAGCAATTGCACTTTGGACACTCAGAGACATCTTTGGTAGTCATTGTGACTCTGCACTGTTTCTGTGGGGTCAGTCATTCAGTTCAGGTACTRTCCATATGTTTTTAGAAAACTCTACAAAGAGTTGCTTGGATTTAAGTGGAAAGGAGTTTTTGGATAAGTGAATGAAACTAGGTTCTGTAAGTCAGACTGGCTTCCTCTCCCACTGGTCTTTGGTGAGGACATGTTCTGCTTTTGTGATACTTGAGTGCCAAGTTGATCAATGTTTTGCAGATGTATTTAGGAGAAAAGGCAGTTATTACTGCTGCTGGGGAATTACAAACAATGCGAAGTATTGTGAWCTAGAAATATCTGTCCAAAACTTATAATTTTCTGTGAAAGCTACTGTATTTTATTTTCAGGCTGCCAGGGTCCTGCAGGTTTTGGGTTTTTTTTTCTGTGAAGTTCACTGCAGGGACTAGAATCTGGCAGCTGAAGAGACAGCTAAGTGGAAGTGTTCACATAACCCTGTAAGTCAGTTGTTTGCAAAGGTTCTTAGGTGTTCAATAACAAACACTGAAGTCAGGCATCAAATGGCAAACTGACCTCAGGARCTGGCCTCAAAGGCCTCAGGAGGTGAGCAAGGATTTGTCGTGTTCCTGGGCTGCCAGCTGGACTTTCTTAGCTGCTCTGCAGAGAGGTGGTTTCTCTRCAAGTCACTGGTGGTGGGTGATGGTTTCTGGTGGGGTGAATGGAAAGCCATTCCCCCCACCTCCCCCCCAGACTGAATGTAGGGAGCAGGAAGATCAAGGGAGTTTACCATGAGGAGGAATTTCAGCTCTTTTGTGTTTGGTGATAAACCAACTGTTGCAGTGCACAYGATACATACAGCTTTTCTACCAAGGTATATCCTGGTGCAACTGCAAGGACAGGGAGGATTGGGTACTGAGGCACATGAACAGTGACARGCTTAAATTTATTTAGTATGATCATGTGATTTCAGAATTTACTTTCATTATTTCTTCCTTATTTTTAAACTTTTAGCCTGTGTTTAAGAAAAAGTGAATGCATTGAAGCAATCTTTTACCTAACGTCTGGTAGTTGATCCTGTGAGCTGTGTAGTGGTTATTGTACAGGAGGACAGTGCTGCTGATTTCACTTTGGACTGTCACTCTGCACTGCTTCTGGAGGGGCCAGGCTCTTCTGCAGATGCTGCAGTGTTTTGCTGTTTCTTGCAGGGAGTTGATGGAACAGCATGGTGAATTGTCTCCAGTCTGTATTTACATGCGAGATGAGGTAAGGCAGCAAAGGCCTCTCAACTGTCTCTTCACATGCCCCTAAAACATGAGAAACCTTAGCTGTTCTTTCCAACCTGGAAAGTGTTTCTTTTGAACTTTCTTGAGAGGGGAAGTAGAAAAATGTTGGTCTTTTCAAGGCATGACGTGTCTGTATGGAAAAAAGCTCTCTTGGAACATAACCTTGTGCTGTTGAGACCTCTGAGCCCATAAAGTGAGCTCAATGACCTATTTGTGGTTTTTTTTTTCCAACTTCTTTTAAAGTTCGAGTCAAAACAGTGTTTTCATTTTAATAAATATTTGCTTTTCTCTGTTTTGATCTTTTGCTATTAATGTTTTGTGTAATATTTTGCATGTGGATATTATGGAATTTGCTCTCCTCAGCTGTCCCCTTTACTTCCCACTGACCTCTGTGCACAGATTGTCTTTATTCTGTAATAGGTAACTGCAGACGGATAGAAGGTGTAGGGGAGGAAGTTGGCTGTCTTGCAGCTATGAGATGTTGTCTGTCATTTAAATTCTGACATAAAAATAGCTTTTCTGTAGTTGTATCCCATTTGGATGTGTGTATGGGATGAAAATATATGTAGGTCATCTTACCTTGAGATGGTTTAAGAAGCTGTGAATTKGGTAAAACAGTACAGGTTGAAGCAGATGGATTCAGGTCTGGTTTCCAACTGCAGRAGGAGTGTGTTTTCAGTTGTTTCTTGTGTTTTGTGGTGTTACTTTTCATACCAGCTTCTTTCTGTAAGGAGCCTTTGCATACTCTCCTGGGGCACCAGTGGCCATAATTGCTCTCCTCTGGTTTTGTTGCAGATATCAGGAAAAGATGCCCTGGAGAAGACTACACTGAAGTCGCTTGGCCTGATGGGGGGCAATGCCATTGTCAGGTTGGGAGGAGCAACATTTGATCTCTTTATATTCTCTTTCCACTCTTGTGGTGAATTAATTTTGTTTCAACTACCAAAAAAAAGGGGGGGAAAAAGATTCAAAATAACAAACATTGCAGCACTAAGACGTTTTTACTTGCCTGCACAGATGTGCTTTGCACAGCTGCAGATGCTGGCACTGGCCAGTCATGCAGATTAAAAGAACTTTTTTTCTTTTTTCTTTTTTTTTT